CTGCTAAATTGAATGCAAATTATTTTCAATCAAACCGTGGTCAGTGTTCCGCCACCATGGTTAGCTAATGCTTACTGCTACTTCAAATAAACCATAAATAAAAAATGAATACTTCCTGTGTCTGACAGGAAGTTGTACCCATGATCATTTACAGTAGAGCCCCCAGGAACACAGTGGGTAAAGATAATTTCCTATATTGTTTTCAATGCTTGAATGTGCATTTATGTTGTAATCATGAAATGCAAACCTCCACAAAGACTCCAGGACATAGCTGTTGAGGCCTGTGCATCTGTTGGCTAGTTTATAATGAACTGCCATATTGATTGGATTGTATGCAGATGAATGTTGTGTGGAGTGGAAGCCACATGATGAAGACACCTGCGGACAGAATGTGAGATAAACAAGATGACCATACGAACTCACAGGGATTTAACCAAATCAAAGATAAGTAGAAGACCTTGTGAAGAACTTAAGGTAGAACATTTCATGTAAGCTGGTATAAAAGAGTGGCTCAGAGGATGACCCTCTGAACGTCATCTGAAATGTAGATGTGTTCTGGATGCAGCTGTGGGTACATGTTCCTTCTTGCAACAATACAGCACTCTTAGTTGAAGTTAACTAAACCATAAGCTTTATTCCAAAAACAGCTTCATCATCAACTGACTGTAAAAGCATAAATATGGCTCTAACAGATTTCAAGCTAAAATTTGGTATGCTATTGGCTGAGAGTGTTTCTCAACAGTGATGTTGCATGAGATACTATTTTTAAGGTTTGACTAAAACAGGTACAACTCCCTCATTTCTCATCAGAATATGATCTTACTCTGGCATGAAAGGCAGGAGATGTAAATGGACTGCATTTATACAGCGCCTTTTTATCTTATTCAGATACTCAAAGTGCTTTACAACAATCTGTGCCTCGTTTACCCATTCATACAGCTCTATACTAGATCTCTACAAAGATAATTGAACAAACCATTCTAAAGAGACTAATCAGAGCTTTATCACATTCATACACCGATGGGACACACATCAGAGGCTATGAGGGGTTCAGTGTCTTGCCCTGAGACACTTTGACATTTGACTGCTGGTGGATTCGAACCCCCAACTCTTGCATTGGAGGACGACTGCTCTAACCACTCGGCCACAGCCGCCCGCATTCCTCCATGGAATGCTGGACCTTAATTTTAATAATTTATCACCAAAGTGGTTGAAAAAAAAAAAAACTACATGATCGTATATGAAGTTCTGTCTTTTGTGGTTGTGAGTATTTACTCTGTGCCATGTGTGTATGCAGTAATAATGTTTCTAATAGATTCATGTTTCTCTTTGATTTATGTGAACGTGTCTCCATAAGTGGAAATGGAGGTTTCTTGCATCTGCTGCTTTATTCTGCCATTTCCTCAGTCCATAGTTCTTTTGTTGTTGTTGTTGTTTTGTTTGGGGGGGTTGTTGTTTTGGGATCGTTGGATGGACTCCAAGCGCTGCAGGCAAACTCCACGAGACAGCCCATAACTCTTCTCTGTTGACTTCACACTCAGCCTATGACCAGCTTTCAGCAGGCTTGGTGTGTGTGTGTGTGTGTGTGGGGGGGGGGGGGGGGCAGGCTGATTTGATACATGCCTGTGATGTGAATGCTTGGCCCCAGGCCTGCCGATCCAAACCCCCTGGTGAAGGAGAAAAATAGTGATGGTGGAAGAACGTTGACCGCTGCCCTGGGAAATATGTGGCTTGTCTCTTAGTGGACAGAGACAAGCTCTCATGTTGGTGGACAGCTTTTTCATTTAGCTCTCTCTGGCATGCGGAGGAGTTTGGGCAGGAACGGAGAAGGAGGAAGGAGTTGAGGTGTGGGGATTGCCATTATTGGTGGTTTGTGTTTCTGAAATGAACAAAACGTTATGAAACAGAAACAAACTCAATTTAGGGTCTCTGTTCCTCCAGGATTTGCACCACTCACCTCCACAGCCAAAGACTAGAACTTTTCTCTGAACTTACCAACACCGAGGTTAAACAGCCAAAGTGCAGCTCTGTTGGTGAAGGTTCAAGTGTGAAGAGAGACACGGACGAGAAACATTCTGCTGTTACTGAATGGAGAGTGAAAAGGCACTGATGGAGCTTTATCTGACTTATTCACACACTTTATGCCACAATAGAGCAAAGTAGCAAACAGGCTCCTTTAACTGCTTTAACTAACTAATTTACTACTTTAATAAAAAAGGAATGGAGTGGACATTTTAGTAAGAAAAGTAAGAATGATCCACTCACAGTTCCCCTGCAGGATAAACCATCTCAGGGTTTTAAATTCAGAGAGGTTACATTTTTATTAATAAGCGTGTATTCAGTAGAAATCCCTAGGCTCATTGAGAGAGTATTAAATCCACAAGAGCCAGCACATCACCTCCATCATGACACTTTGATGGACCGGAGCAGATCTCACTGGGCTGCGACTGGAGGAGACGAGTTGGTGTAAGATATCAAACAGGCAGAACGCCCATGTTCCTGTCTCTGTGGGGTTTGAATAGTGAATGTTTGTCATGAACTTAAATGTTTTTGGTGCAAGATATTCAAGTGGGAGGAGTCACACTGAGGAGGAGAGCAGAGGGAGGTGCAGTGCAGTGACAATGCCTTCCATCGCACACAAAAAGACTCAAGGACAGTTTTTACCCTCAAGCTGCCAGATTACTGAACTCTTGATAGTAATACTGAACTATTGGCAATAACATTGCACCAATCCACATCTGTGACAATATGTTCATTTAATCTCAACGTTACTCTCTATCTGTTCAATAACCTGTCACACAACCTGTGTAGTTTATGTTAGTTATGTGCAGTATATATCATGTACATTTATATTACTACCTTTGAAATACTACATACTTCATCCTTAATATTCAGCCTACTTGCACCGTTATATTCTACCATGTTGTTGTTTACTATATTTATTTTGGACCTTGTAAATATATTTTACTTTTTCACTTTTTGGTACTTTATTTTGTACCCTTATTGCATGTTTTAGTATTGCTTCTTTTTCTTAGCGAGTCGAAGCGTTTCTTCTCATGGTGAACATTTCATTGCATTGTTGACCTTAAACCTGAATATGGCAAATAAACAACATAACAATGATCCTGGTGAGTGGAGAGAGCAACTTTATCTACCAGCGGGTACAGTAGAGGAGTCAGGGGGTGGCCAATGGTGGCCTTGGACAGTGGACATTAATAATTGGCCACCCCAATCATTTGAGTAAACTAATTTTAAGCAATATAAAACCTAGAAAGCTTAGTGTCCTCAAATTATTGGAGTGGCCATTATATATGACAGTATTCTGGTTTATTCTTCTTAGTTTTTCATCCATTCATTCAACCTTTGTTTATACAGGTTAGTCTCATTGAGCCACGAGGATTCATTTACAAGAGAGACTTCATTTTAAACAAAGAACACACATGAGGTACAGACAACAATAGGCAATGAAATAAAAAGCATATAAAATGAAAAGTAATTGGACTGTACTTATACAGTGCCTTTCTACCATCGAGGCACTCAAAGCTCTTTACTACAATCTGTGTCCTCATTTACCATTCATACAGCTCTATACTAGATCTCTACAAAGCTAATTGAACAAATCATTTAAAAGAGGCTGATCAGTGCTTTTAGATCACATTCATACACTGATGGGACACACATCAGAGGCTGTGAGGGGTTCAGTGTCTTGCCCAGGGACACTTCAGCATGTGACTGCTGGTGGATTCGAACCCCCAACTCTTGCATTGGAGGATGACTGCTCTAACCACTCAGCCACGGCCATTATTTATATAAATGATATAAAAACTAAACAAAAACAGCTACATTATAAAACAATATAAAATACTACAAACAGGAACATGTCTGTGTTGATTTTTGTCATGAACTCAAGAGATGTTTGAAGCCACTTAGAGAGGTCAAGGTCGAGAGCTTCAGATGTTTTTACAAGATATTCCAGGAAACAGGAGCGGAGTAGGAGAAGGTCCTTTTGTCTAGTTCAGTCCTCACTGAGGGAACACTGCAGGTAATGATGTCCTGAGAGCGCACGCTGTAGCTGCACTCACACAGAGACATGTAGGAGGAGATGTATGAAGGCAGCAGACCAGGAAGTGATTTAAAGATGAAAATGTACCAGGGAGAGAGTCTGCATGGAGTTAATGGTGACCAGTTAACCAGTGAATACTGGGTCTAATGGTGGGTACGATTGTTACAGCCAATTATGAATCTTAGTGCACCATGATAGACAGCATCCAACATTAGTGGCTGGTTTAACCAGTAATGTTGAAGAAACAGTGATTTGAGGGCCAGCAGTGACGGCTCTTCAAGCTCTATATGTCCAATCACTGATGAGAAGGAAACACTCAGTGCACAAACCCACGTTCTTTGGAAAATGTAACAGTCATAAACATGCTAACAACAAAATTAATGGAGTTTCTATTCATGGTGAAGGTTTAACTTGCATAAGCTCAATTTCTTTTCATATCTTATTTTACTTGTGTACACATTTTCGTTCCACCACATGTACTACATATGATGTGAATGACAATAAAGAAACCTTGACCTTGATTTTACTCAACATTTATGTTGGTCAATTTCATATCGACCTTTTTTAAACAGTCTACCTTCCTAGTTTTTAAATCTTACTATGCAATGTTTCATTAAGCACATCACAGAATAACTTTAATAATTATAATAATAATTTATTAATTAATAATAATCAAAGACAAGTTGCAAATCCCTGTAAAATTCATTGTGTTTGGTTTTATATCAGACAGAAGTTTGCATCCCTGTCAGACAGGTGTCAGTGTCTGAGTGCTTCATTCCAGCAGGTGCTGTGCACACAGATATTTGTGATGAAAGAAAGGAGCGATGAGGCAGAATGAGAAAAAGCTTTTATTTAAAGTTCGTCACTTACCTCCTTCGTTGTGTTCTCTTCTTTGTTCTCAGTGAATCTTCTCGACACAACAACAATCACTGGAGACTGGGGCTGGCTGACATATCCGTCACATGGGGTAAGAATTTCAATTCAGTTTATTTCTATAGCACTAAGTCACAAAAGAAGTCGTGTCAGGTCACTGAACAGAAACATCCATATACATAAAAAAGCCAATTGGTAAAAATTATCTTTCTAAGGAAACAGCAGATTGTGTTGAAAGTTCACTTTGTCACAGTCTCCCATCCATTCCCAGTTCATAAAGTGTTTTTGTACATATAAAACATGCACATTTAAACTCTCCTGTGTGCAAATCTTAAAACAACATAAATTTAACCATCTACTGCTTCTCAAACAGTATTTTGGACAACTGTCCTTCTCCTTGTGATAAATTTGATACCTGTTGAAAAACTACCTTTGTTCTGACCCAGCTGGTGACACTGAGGTCCCTTTGACATGGGAAGGCTATGTTTCGAAAACAATCTTTTTCTCCCTGAACATGGCTGTGTTTCTTCAAATGTTTTCAACTACACAGAAACTACATAAATACTGCATTAACTATGCCTGGCCTGTACGTGGTACTGTCCAGCTGTCACAGAATTACACCAGAAACAGTGAAGACGATGTGGAGCAGACTAAAGATGGGATGAATGGTCCTTGGAAGGGAACAGGGATGTTGAAAATCTGTTTGTTTCAAAGAGCCGTGCAGTTTTGGATGGCGGTGGCTCGTATCATATGGCTGTATGTAGTGATATGGGCTGATTTTTGATTAAAGATGTTCAATGGGTTTGACTTCCACTGTGTAGAAGAACATAATTATTTATTTTTCTTGTTCAAGGCAGCACAGGGTGACAGATCCTGGAGAATGGAGGGAGCAATTTTATCTACCATCAGGTGCAATGAAGGAGTCAAGGGGTGGCCATTGGTGGCTGTGGACACCAAAGATTAATGCTTGACCCCAAAGGGCCACCCTAATCATTTGAGGAAAGTTTACTTTTAAGCAATATAAAAACTAGAAAGCATGGTTTCCTCAAATCATAAGGGTGGTCAGTTATATATTGATATCATATATTGATAGTGGTGGCCATCTTGGATTTTGATGTGGCAACGCAATCTTTGATAGAGACCTTTTATACACATAGATGCAGCCACACAACAAAATGGAAGTTGGTACCTCATTTATTTTTTAGTCATTAGGCTCACAAGATGAATGTAATTGATGCTGATCTTAAATTTGTGTCGTCATTATCCTAAAAAGTCTTAATGTAAATAACTGAAACTTGCAGAATTGTCACTAATGGATCATTTCAGGCATAATATCCAGGAAGAGACAGAGAGAAGATGTTTTATAATGATGTTGAAAAGGTTCAAGATAAATTATTTATAGTGTCAGCTTTCCAAAATATTGGAATGTCTCATGGTTTTAAATGTTTACTCCATTTAGCTCGTCTTATGTTTTTTCTGTTTGCGTTAATATTGTTAACAGTTCAGTAAAGAGATCAAAGCTTTTGTTCTTCTGTTATTTTGATGTAAAAACAAGTGGGTTTTTGGTTTTGAACCAGTTTGACATGACTGTCGACGAGGAAGAGGGCCGGCGCAAGAAGAGGGGGCGTGCCAAAGACACCATCTTAGCACCAACATAACTGGTTTGTTCCACTTTGGAGTAAGTTGTTTAGGGGAAGAATCAGTTTTGTTGTGTGTTTCCTTGACTGATGAAGCCTTCTGGATGGAAGGTGAAACGTTTCAGAAAAACAAGAAACTGTCCAGATGACCTGACTGAAAGTTGTTGGATAATTGGGTTTTGTTTTGCTCCACTAAAGAGAAAGTGCTTCATTAGTCTTGTCAGCTCATTTCTGGCTCCAGCAGCTCGGTGGTCAGTGCTGCGGTCTCATAGTCCAGAGCCAAGCTTCAATCAGGTGTAAAAGGATTACCAAATCTTTCTTGCTGGTTCAGTAATAAAAGATCAACAGTCTTGTTGACTCGTTGATGTTATACAGTATACAAGGTCATGTTGTAGTTGAGCAACTGGGATCTGCAACACAAACCTGTGGTCTAGGATTATTGCTGTTACTTCTGTCAGGCTTGTGGTTGTAGGTTAGACATAAAGTTGATCTATGGCATCCTCATTTTCAAAAGGTTGAGTTTAGTCTGTCTACACAAGAACGTAATTGCATTTAAAGATTTTCTTACTCTGGAGTCAAGTTTAAAAAAATGTGGGCACTCCTAAAATTTTATTTCCAAAGTACCTTCATCAAAACTGTACCATCCAACACATTTCAACCTTGTAAGGTTCATATTAAATATATAAAAAAAACTTTGGCATGAACAAAACACCCATTCCCTTGGGGCCTTAGCTGTTCAGTTGTTGGGGAACTCGTGTATCTTAAACTGGGTCTAGTTGTAACACTGACATTTACATGGTGTAGCCAGACACTACACACTTGATTCCCACATCAGCTCCAACATCACTCGCAGGCTCTTCTTCTTGGCAGCTGGTGCACAAAACAGTAGGGGGGTCTCAGGCCGTACAAGGAAGAAAAGAGGAGATAGAGGGATAAAAGAGAGAGGACGAGTTGACAGTCAGGGTATGGCGTGGCTGCATTAGCATGTTGAAATGCCAAATGATGGAGCTGCGGGTGATGAATTAGAGCTCAGTCTGTGATCTTTCCGGCACCAAGATGCCACCCTGTCCCTGGATCCCACGGCTGTCAGCAGAGTGGTAGAAACATTTCTATCACCTCCAGCCCCCACAAGAGAAGGTAGTGTGATTGAACGGTGGTCAAAGGAGCAGATGGAATGTCCTTCAGGTCCTGAGAGAAAGGCTGGAAGAATTGGATTAGAGATTTGAAGAAAATTACTCTTTTTCTGTAAAATCAGTATTAGAGGTAAATCTCCTCCATCTGGAAAGAGTCGATGCTATTACCGGCACATCTGGATTACATAATTTTAGCCTGTAGTGTTTCATTCAATTGGTTCAATATACCAGAAATAATTTGTCTGTACTTTATGGCAGACCTTTCACTCCAAGCCTATGCACAAGAAACACTTGACTGAGTGGATTAAAGTGGAAGCAGAGCTTCATGGGTCAGTTACATCATGTCCTGTGTTAGATGGTACAGGTGTGACAATGGTTCTTTTTTCTTTTCTTTAGGATCCTTTTGAAAATCTGGTTTAAGTTCTACCTAAATCAGACCTAAACCAAATCTATTAAAATGATTTCTTTTCAATAGGTCTCTCCCAAACCTTTAGGGTCCCACAGCTCTGGAAAGGAGCTGTTATTGTTCCAGTCCCCAAAACCAAGACTGCTTAGTCACAGAATGACTTCAGGCCTGTTACCCTGACTTCATACGTAATGAAGTCATTTGAAAAGCTGATCTGGGAGATCCTCATGTCAAAAGTTGAAAATCATTTGGACCCACTTCACTTTGCTTATTGTTCATGTAGAGAAGTGGAGGACACAACAGGAACTATTAAATATGATTATAGGACACCTTGAAAGTACAAAAACATTTGTAAGATTGCCTGTTATTGACTTTTCATCTGCTTTTAATTGTACAATATCCAGCCCCACATTTTTAGCAGAGAAATTACAATGTCTGTACGGTCTCGACTCTGGCTTCATTTGTTGGCTTGTGGACTTTTTAACAGTTTGGTCTTAGTGGGTGAGTGTCAACGGGGTTCTCTCTGATGTCCTGCCCTCTACTGGTTCTCCTCAGGGCTGCGTTCTTTCGCCCCTTTTATTCATTTTATATACAAACAATTGTCACAGCCATATCCCACAGTCACATTTTAAAGTATGCTGATGACTCTACCATCCTGTACCTTCTCAGCAGTGATGACCCAGACCCTGGACCAGTGGTCAGGGACTTCACTGAATGGTGTGTGTTCCTTTTTAAAATTAAATGTGTCTAAGACAAAGGAGATGGTCAATGATTTCAGAAAAGACTCTTCAGTTGCAACTCCTGTGGTCATTAATGGTGAAGCTGTTGAGGTGATGCATCATTATAAATATCTGGGAACTGTTGATGACAGACTGACATTTGACCTCCATGTGAACTCACCTTGTAAGAATGCCCACCAGAGAATGTATTTTTATGAAAAGTTCTGTGGTTTTAATGTCGATTCTACTTTTATGAGAATGTTCTATTGAGTCTCTTTTAACTCTTACCTTCATCTGTTGGTTTGGACTTTTAACATGCAAAGACAGAAACAAACTCTCGGGGTTTATCAGGATGTGCAGCAAAACTGCTGGCGTAGCCCTACAGAACCTCACTGACCTACACAAGGCAAGTTCAGTGAACAAGGGCAGGCTGATTCTGGCAGATCCTGATCATTCACTCCATGGTGAGGTCAGGTTGCTTCCATCTGGACGCATGTATCTGCTGCCCAGATGTAGGACGAACAGACTAAAAAAACTAATTCATCCCTGTAGAGATCAGGCTTCTCAACAAACAATGATTTCATGTACTATTATTTTAATGTCTTAATGTCTTTTCTAGAATGAATGTCTTGTGTGTCTACTGACTGTAAAACAAATTACCCATTGGGGATAATAAAGATTCTTGAACCTGAACTTGAACTACCCACCTCTTACAATAGCTTGCCCTTGAACATACAACAAACATGTTTGTAGGCTCTGTCTGTAGGTCTGTAATTCATCAGCTTATGAAATTTGATCAGTTTAGGGATTAAATTAAGATGATTCAAGCGGTGCTGTTTTTACAGGTGTCTTCTATAATAAAAGAAAATATTTTTAAAAATGTTAATATTTGAGCATGGAGGATGAAGCACCTCTCCACGTGTTGAATAACTTTTTCTGCTCACACTTCCTGCTCCTTTGCAGTAATATTTTCTCATTAGCGACACCTCTTGTTCAGGAGAACTGAATCAACCTGCGTGTAGAAAGCAACAAACACTAAAAGTGCTTGCTGCTTTCTATGGATAATGGATATAGATGATCTAGGGTTGGGCAATATCATATCGTTCAAGATAACACAGGTTAAAAAAACGCTTGCCCGGGAAAATAAATGATATCATGATATGCTAGTTTCATGATATAAGTACGTCGATGTTTCCCCT